CAAATTATGATCTCAGAATATATCTTTAAGTGAATAATTTATGATTCAATATATATCATAAATATATTATATTATTAAAAAATAAAAAGACTAGCATGCAGGCTCTTTAAAGTAAGCCTATTTCCTAATTTTTAAATGAACTTTTTTTAAATCTTAAACTTTCTCTATTTAAAAAAGAGAACATGTCAGGTTAGACCTAAGTTGGGTCAGGTTAAAAGCCCTTTATAAACCGTCTATCCCGTTTACACTTCAAAATAGTCTTACCTACCTCTATCAAATGCTTTGGATATTTCTAGTTATATTTTGCAATTTTTATACTCTTATTTTTTTGAATTTTTGTACAAATTCAAATGAAAACATTTTACTAATTAGATAAGTGATAGTATTTTATTAACTATGCTAGCCTTTAAAATATTCATCTTATATTTTAATTAATGATCTGTACTTTTATGCTAATTTTGTATCAATATTATATTGTTGTACCAACATCATGTTGTCATCGTTGTGTGTTATAATTTCTAAAATTTGCCGTATCTTAGTGTCCATACTATATAGTATCCATGCTTCGTAGTTGTCAAGTCAGAAAGTAATTTAACTTTTTTTTTTTTTTTGAAAAGAAAAATAAAAACAAAAAAGGGACATGTAGTGAAATAGCTCCTGCTGATTAGATGGGCGTTGGTTGTCCAACATCAACAACTTGCCAGTGCAATAGGAACGAAAACTTAGAATCTGCTATCGAAACTTGCAAATTCCAAAGAATCACCTAATTATTCCCTTGATTTAGCCAAACAAATTAAGAATAGAAAAAAGAATTAGAATATTAGATCATCAATCATTTGCTGTGAAATCATGAATGGCAGATAGAGAAATATTGAACTGACATACAGAAAAGCAACACACAGTTTCACCAGCGAATCGTTTAGATCATACTAAGCAGACATATAGCCTGGATTCGTGTGAATACGAGGTACGAGGAAACAGAAAGTGATTGAGGAAGAGGTACTCATCTATGTGAAATTGTGGAGGTTAGTTTTCTAACAAACCCTGCATCTTGGAGCTTCAACAAGCCGGGGCAGAGATCTAAAGGGTCTAAGAGTAACACGCTTAGATGGCCTCACAAGTTTCGACAATCAATTCATTTGTGTTTCACCGCTTTTGTTCAAGTCAGGGTCTATAAATTACATTTCTCTTCTCTCTTTTTTGGATATTATAAATTAAATTAAATGTAATATAAATTACATTTGACAAATTACATGTATCTCTTTTAAAAAATATTATACTCACATTTTAATACAATAATATAGTGTGTCTACTTTTTTTCGTGTTTACTTTATCTATTAGAATCTTAACTAACTTTTTTTCTTTTTCTTTTCTTTTAAGATTCTGATCTAATGTTATTGAATATGAGTAGATAGAATAGACATGAAAAAATATAAGAATAATATTCTATCTCTATTTTATATCTTTAATTTGTGAAAAATTATGCAAAGAAATAGGTATATTATATGGGTTTTATAAGAGTTATGTTGTAGGAAAAGTGATTGTGTAATGTTATAGAAATTCGTTTTGCATGCCGTAATTTTCTTTTTTTTTCTTTTTTCTTCAAAAAGTGTGAGCCCCATAAAATATTGTGTATGTAAGAAAGTTTGTTGTGTCATGTTAAATGACAAATGCAAATTCCATATTATATTCCTTTTTTAGGAGAGACTCAAATTATATTTTTATAAGTTTGACTCTTTCAACTACATATGAATTAATTCGAAGTATGGACAAGTTAATAATTAAGATTTCATACCCCTTGAAAAGATGACATCGGTGAAAATCAAACCACCATCCTTCTCTGCCTACTCAAGTTCATTGCACAACCGAGCTATATCATGGAATATATTTATTATATTTTAGTTCATTAATGTTATTAAGTCTTTACCAAACCATTCTTTCATTTTTTCGATTATCGACGTGCTAGTTCTAAATAGAGTCTTCGTAGATTAAATTGAATAGTTTTAAGGAAGAAAGTCATTCGATCCAATTCCATCAAAAAAAAAAAAATTGGTGAATTCTATTTTCATATTTTACCATCTGATCAAGTAGGTTTTAAATATTAAAATTTGATCCAATCTAATATAATCCACAGCGATTTGGATTGAATCATTTTTTTGGATTGAATCATTTTTTTTTAAAAAGACAGATTTAACCATGATTACAAAACAAAATATAAATACAATGTATTAAACCAAACTCAGAACTATAGGGTAGTTAAGGTATTGCAATCTATATTTACTAGCTAAAAAGAAAATCAAAGAAACATATATTTACTATACATTTTCCTAATTGAACTTACTATACTCTTATTGAAGCTATATTGATTTGTTGTCAAATTTTAATTCTATATAACTAGTTTTTTGAAATTTCTAAATAATTTGATGTCTGAGCTAGTTAGGCACTAACCATTAGCATCTTAGAGACATTGCTTGCACCAAACACTTTATGAACAGCTGCAAACTTTTGAGGCTCATGTGGTGAGAAATAAGGAGAGAAAGGACATTTCCAAATACATGCTTCTTTTTCTTCAATACCCGAATTGCTGGTCTGCAGAGGAATGAACGAACTAAAATCGGTAAGAACAAGAACGGAGGAAGAAACTTATGGGCTCCACATTGGACTGGGCTGATCAACAATGCTTAAATAGTCAACTCTCATTTTTGAACATCTCTTATATTTATTTTATTCAATATATATATATATATATATATATATATATATATATATATATATATATATATATATAGGGATAAGATCCTTTGACATTTGTGTCAAATTTTAAAATTTAACACCAAATTCAAACCGTTGATTTTCGTCAATCAACGGTTATCATTTATTGAAAATTATTAATAAGTTTAATTCTCAATAAATGATAAGATTGGCAGAAATCAACGGTTGAGATTTGGTTTCAAATTTTAAAATTTGACACCGGTGTCAATGGATCCTGCTTTATATATATATATATATATATATATATATATATATATATATATATATATATATATATATATGAGGTAGGATCCTTTGACATTAGTGTCAAATTTAAAATTTGACACCTCATCTGAGAGCCGTTAGATCAAAAAAGATCAATGGTATCACATGCTTACAAATCAGAGTCGTTGATCTTTTTTGATCTGACGACTCTCAGATGAGGTGTCAAATTTCAAATTTGACACCGGTCCTACCTATATATATATATATATATATATATATATATATATATATATATATATATATATATATATATATATATATATGGTAGAATCCTTTGACACCGGTGTCAAATTTGAAATTTGACATCTCATCTGAGAGCCGTCAGATCAAAAAAGATCAATAGTGTCACATGCTTACAAATCAGAGTCAGTGATATTTTTTTATCTAACGCCTCTTGTTGCGAACTCGGCATATGCACCGGTCGTACATGTAATAAAGTGATAAGAAAAGTTGTCTATCCCACGAGGACTGATGACCAATCAATAATTTATTTATTTAACTAAAGTTGGATCGATCGTAAAAAGGATTTCGTGAGGATGTTGTAATTAAATTAAAAAAAATTATAAAATTAATTTTGGTTTTTAATATTTTAGAAAATAAATTCAGAATTAAATAAACTAGAAATCGGTTTTAAGTTTTAATAAAGAGGCGTAGCTAGGATTCAACTTCCCCAGTGGTTTCTTAATGAGTTTGCCTATTCTTACGATTACATTCATGATCAAATTATTAACAGTTCTTTCTTTGATTGATTAAATCTCAATCCCTCGGTAATCTAATTCTTTACTCTAATCAAAAGCCCAATCGCTTAGTACTTTTTCGTAAAATAAGCATTATCGCAAGAACCTACAGTTATAGAATTTATAAGTCTATCCCTATATCATACAAATTTCAGCAATCAACCAATCAGAATCATACACCAACATTCCTATTGTCATGCACAACTCATATGTTTATCTACGATTGATCAAGTCATAAATAAAACTAATCATGAATATCAGATTGATTGCATAATTTAAAAACAAGAATGTAATTCATAAGAGAAACACACATCAATTAAGAACACATTGGTTCTGTATCATCCTAACTACTAAAAGTAATTTAGCTATGCATAATTATAAAGACAGAATTAAAATATACTGAAAAATAAATAGGGTTCATGGTAAAACTTGATTAATGAAGACGATCAATGATGCAGAATGATTCCTTCCTTCCCCTCTACCAGTGTTCCTCTTCTGCCACGGCTTTCGCTTCGTCTCTGACTCCCTTCTTTCTTCGTGTTCCAGCCTTCTCTCCACGGCTTTCTTCACGTTATATTTAAAGAGAAATTGTGGGCTTCTGAGTCTGGACCCGCTCGCTGAGGAGCTCGCTAAAGCGAGCTGCTCAGCGAGTATTTTCTTCTTCTCGCTTAAGCGAGGAGTGAAGCGAGCTTTGTTGTGTTGCTCGCTCACTTGCTCGCTGAAGCGAGCAGTGGAGCTAGCTTGACCAAATAATTTATTTTTAATTATTTCTTTATTTTCGCTTCATATCCTTCAGATTCTTCATATTGCAACCGGTCTCTCATCGTTATCAGTTAGTATTTTGCTATTCTAGTATGAAACAACATGAATCAACAACAAAGATTAGGATCTTATCTATTTGTCGGCAATTTACTATCTTTTAATATTTTATTTAATTAATACTATATTCTTAATTATTTGAATTATTATTTGAACTATATTTAATATTAAAAGCATAGTTATTTTTAATAATTCATTTTACAAAGTCTTGAAATTGAAAAATCAAATAAAACAAATACTGTTATAATTATTAATAAAGATATACCAATTAAAAGTAAAAACAGGAAATAAACCAAATACAACATTTTCCAAGCTGAAAAGGACATGAGTAAAAATAACAGGATCCTTGTCCCTTGATGAGGAGGTAAATGGGGTGTATGCTTTCTCGAAACTAGTTTTTTTCATGTCAAGATTTGCATGACCTTGTATAGTTGTATGTTAATTTTTTTCATTCCCACGCATCATCTTCCTTCCTTTCAACTTCGCAACAATTACAGACTCTCAGCATGATTAGTATGCTTTGAATGTGGTGTTCGTTGCACGCTTATGACATATAATTAAGAGGCTTGGTCCTTACTAGATTGAAATGAGGCAATCGCATGACCATAGAACATGGTACAGGTTCTATGGCAAGGTGATATGCATAAGACAAATATGATATCAAGCAACGCAACATTGTAAGTTTTGAATAGTATCAACAAGTGTTTTTTTTTTTTCCCGACCTCTTACAGAAAACGCCCAAGGAAATTCTTGATCTCATCAATATATGGGGACCGAGTAGGAATTATGTGACCACAATCATGTTCAACGATCACAGAACAACCGCCATCATATAGAGAAGCAAGCTCCTTGCTAGCTTGGTTAGCTATCTGCCTGTCTTTACCATGTTCATTACCGAAAATATGAAGAGAGGGGCACTTGATAGGGCCACCATCCATCCCCTTCACATGGAGAGCAAAGCCTGAGCACAAGATTACAAATTTGAAGTCCATAGTACCTTCTAGCTTTTCTTGTTGTGCAGAGATTAAGGCGGCCATTGCTGCTCCCTGTGAAAATCCTAAGATTCCATCAAATGGCCCTTCTTGGGAAAACACATTCTTCAAGTGTGATAGTGAAATATCACATCCATCAGTTTGCTGCTGGTATTGAAGTGGATCAAATGGGCCATCTGCTACCTTCCAATCAACACCGCTACTTCCATCAAAATTAGATGCCACAAACCATGCAAACTTCTTCTTGCAATTCTCCAGAGGTGGAGGAGGAATTGATGGCAATGATGATGATGCACAATTCCCACAGGGCACCGACATGGGGGTTTGATAAATGAATGGCAATTCATGAGGTGCATCTACAAAAGAAAATTCAGTAATCTTCTTGAGCTTTTTGGCTAATGATGCTGTTCTTCCCTTAAAACTGGATGCATTCTGCCGAAATCCATGCAAGCATAAGATTCTTAGTTTTCTTGAGGTCTGTAGATCTGAAATATAATACATTAGGATGTTAGGAATTGCACACTTTCAGTAAATTATAGATGGCTTTTCAAATTGCGAATGCTTCAGATTTTAAAGGACTAAAAACTCAGTACGCTGCAACAATTGTAGGTTAACTATCAGTTAACTTAAAATTCAACAAAACGCAGGTGAAAGCTAGGTTTGTTGATATGACATGGCACAGACCTTACCATCTCCCCTAGGCATTTGAGGCAAGAATATAGTATCTGAAGAAAAATTCTGGAACTCAACAACTGGCAATGGTGTCCTTGATTTACCATTTTCAATCAACTGCATTGACCTAACAGCCTTGCCCTGTTTTTGGCATAGCTCACAAATATACTCTGCAGCTTCATTCTGGTGGACCACAATAACATCAGAAGGCAAAACAAAAAACCCAGAAAACAAATAAAAAAAGAATCAAGTCAAGAAATTAAAGATGGTGAAAGGATAAATTTTCTAGAGTACCAATTCAGGAGTGTAGTTAACCCGAGTTTTAAGAGCCAATGCTTCAAGAGTACAAACATGTTATTCAAATGCTAGCATGATTGAAGCCCAACTTTGAGGTCTAATGACCACAGGAATAGCTTGGGGCTTACAAAATCAGCTCATGAACTCAATTTGAGAAAAATCCAACTTTTCTTCCCAATAACAAACCACAATTCTTGATAAAAAAAAATTGAGTAACATTATTAGTATTTTCTGGAACCAGTTACAATTAAACTAGCTCAAAAGCAATACTCAAGATAGTAGGTTCTCTTAGTAAACAAACATAACCAGAACCAAGCTCTCATTTATAAGCTCATGGGCACTTCACAAACAACCCAAAACAGTTCTTAGTTTAGTTCTCTGAAAAAATAGTGTTTGAGACCACAAGATCCAGTAAATAATCTCATTGTATATTAATGATTTCATTCTCTTTCCTTATACTTTTCTTCCTTTACTAACTCCTTAAGAATGGTAAAATTCAAAAGACATTTGAACAAAAAAATTCAGCAGACATTAGGTAAAAGTTATCAGATCATACCTGGCAATTACCACAAACCAAGACAAGTATTCTGCAATAAGTACATCGGCAGCGTGAAGAATAATCATCAAATGAACAGTGACAGATAAGGCAGGTACCAACAATATTAGCATCTGAACTTCCAACTGATATCCTGTAGCCACGGAAGAAATGAAATATGGATTCGGTTTATCCAATTGTCGGAACACTACCATTAATACTTTGACCAACTTTCAATCTACTCTTTACTGGATAAGCTCAATAATGAATATAGATAATGAAGCTCTCATTGCATTGAAAGCAACAAGTGTTATTACCAGAAAGCAAGAGCAATTGAAACAAACCCCACCCCAACCACCAAAAAGTCAAAGATAATCAAATTAAAATTGTCAGCATGTGCAACAAGCCAGCAACAGCAAGTGATGAGAACAATACACATGAATAGTGAAAGCAATAAAATCATGATGACCTGTCTAGCTTCTCTTAATTAAGATTTAAGAGCATAAGCTGTAATTTGGAGGGACTAAACATGTAATTATGAAAAGTTAGTTTTGTTTATCATAAATTTTACCTTTCGATTCATACATGTATGACTAGAATTAACACTTCTACAAAAATAAATTATACAATAAGTCATTCAATCCAATTCATTTATTTTAAGACAAGCATATCATTTAAATAGTCTGCAAATTGTGAGCCGTAAAAAGGGGGGAATAAACGTGACTTGATAAGAGTAGCAATAATAACTTTAAAAAAATAAAAAGCAAAGCAAAGGAGAACCGGCATGTAATGTATATAATGTAAAAACATCTAAATCATAAAAAATAAACAATATAACTGAGAAATGAACTAGCATAATCACCAAGTAATGCATGATAAAAACATGGCAGAATTAAAATCAAGGGCTAGCAAAAATAGCATGATTTATTGCAAAGGATCCAATTCTCTATTTAGTTCAAAAGCTCGGTTATTTGAAAAATATTTACTATAAAGGAACAAGTTAAATAACCAGTTTGTAAATGCAATTGAATCATATATTCATATAAGGTTAAATAAATCTTCAATCTGAAAATAAACTGTTGTGGCTATTGGATACAGTATCTTAAATAATTCCATTTGCAGGTCTTTGTCTTTTAACATCGCAAAAAAAAAAAAAAAAAGATAAAATACTACCATAACTGTTATTAACAAATAATGGCAATAAAAGAATTTGATGTAATGTCAAATTTCCAGTCCTGACAGGTATCACAGAATTACAAGATATTTATACAAATTCATGCCTAAAAGCAATGTGAGAATTGAAAAGATATACCGGGGATCAAAAACAAAATTCTTTCCTTTGAAGAAACCACCGTCTGGGAATTGCTCCAAATACCGTTGTATGCCACCAAATAACTGCAATTAATCCAAAAATACAAGAAATACAGGTCATCAGCATTAACTAAGACAATCTTGACCATGTCTCATAACAAAGTCTTTAGAAGGATACGCTACCAAAAGATTTCCACACACTACAGTCATCATATTTCATTGCACACTGATACCAAGGTCCTTATGACTTAGTAGGATCTTTTCTAAGGTTGTATCATTATGAACAGCTTATGAGCATAATAAAAATCCATGACATATTGATCAAAATTTCTTTTGTTTTCAAAGGGTTGAGTAGAGAGAAGAACTGGGAAAAGAGAAATTCAGGAATTCACCTGAAACACATTATCAAACCCAGCACCTTTTGACCTAATATATGCTGATGCCATTTCACACCTGATTCCACCGGTACAATACCTTCAACCAACAAGTGAAATTACACACCATAAGCATTGTAAGTAATTCAAGTACAGAAATCATAGCTACATGGAAAATACTATTCCCATATCACTGATTAGATATTTACTAGATCATATTAGAATAAGAATGCAACTAAGGAATCAAGAATTCCCCCCAAAAAGTTTTAAAAGGAGAGCATACATGAGGATTTGTTTGCCTTTCAACTGCTCACCATTATCATCTATCCAAGAGGACAAATCACTATACTGCCTAACTTGAGGATCTAAAGTTTCAACATTTGGTGCATGAAATTTCCCAATTCTTGTTTCATAAAGATTCCTTGCATCAAGTAAAACAAGGTTGTTTTCTGGACTCTCCTTGTCTACAAAACAACAGGATTATACAAACGGAGATTCAGATTTCAATATCAACTCTCCAAATAAAACCAAATGCTCTAAATAGTGAAAAAAAAAATATAGAAAAAAAACATATTTACACAGTAAAAAGGACAAGGACAAATGAAATTTAACTAAGATAACAAATGGAAAACATATACATCAAGGCTTTCAAGTTATAGCCACTTACTAGAATTCTGAAGGGAAGAATGGAACTCAACAGCAGAGAGATGTCTTCCAGCATTTGAGATTTCAGGTGACTTTAACAGTGGATGGGAACTGAGAGTAACCAATTCCTATGAACACAGCAGAAGTATATCTTTATGGAAGCAAGAATCAGAACGAAAATTGCAAAGGTAGCAAATGCAAAAGAAGAAATAAAAGCTAATAAGAAAACAAACTGCTTATTATATTACACCACAACAGACACCTTCACAATTGATGTTTAATCAATATGTGTGTGCGTGTTGATGAAAATGATAGTTCATTTCTGATATTTTCTGAGCATAGCTTATCCTCTTCTAAGATGACAATATGTAATGAAACATAGCCTTGTACTTTTTCGCTCACACCAAGGTGCTAATAGGGACAAAAGGTCCACCGAATCGTAATTTAAAACAGCAAATACAGATGGCATGTTAACATTCATAGTTTCAGGGTATAGGAATAAAAAAATAAATAAATAAAAGACCTTGACGATCCGAATTGAGAGAGAAGTGAATCCACACTCCTTAGCAACATTGTCAATTAATGGCTGATGACAAGTTGCTAGCTTGAAATCAGTCCCTTCAAAGACGCTATTAATGGCCTTAACGGCTTCGATGTGCCTCTCCAAAGAGGATAAGTTGCCGCCAACCTATTCAAATGAAAGACAGTTTCAGTTTTCAGTTTCGAACGAAAGGAGAAATAAGCAGAAGCAGAAGCGAGTTTGGGATTTGAGATTTACGGTGACATTGACGCCGTGGGAAGAAAGCCGAACACGACCGAGGAGGCCGAGCGAGGAGCAGTTGGAGTCGTAGAATGTGACGAGCTCGTTGAGGTTTGGAATCTCGACGTACTTGTAATAGAGAAGGACACCGTATTGGTCTTTGTTTTTGTTGTCGGACATGGTTTGAGCTTTCGTCTTTAAAGGGTTTATGCGAAATCGCAGATTTTACTCACGGTGAGGTGAGACTTGAGAGGCGTTGTTTAATCACTACGGAATACGGAATACGGATACGCAGGGTAAGAATACTTTTACTTTCTTTTTGAATTTCCACATTAACCTACGGTTTTATTTATGGACGACATATTATCTCTAATTTTCTTCGTGCCTATGTTAATTATTTTCTAAATAACGAATTATTGGTGTAGATTTACATATTTATGACAAAGTGATCAAGGATAAGAATTTGATCTTTACCGTTTCCATATTTATAAATAAATGAAAAATGAATTTTAATTTAAGATTACGCCTATGCATTATTCATGATTGAAGTCCAAATATCTATTGAATAAGGATCATGTTAGAAATATATAAAGTCATTTATCATTCTTAGAATTGGTTATAGATACAAACTGCATTTGTGTTCTATTGCTCTTTTGTTTTCCACTTCATGATCTGGTTAAAACTTACATCTTAATCATTCTCAAATCTTAAAACTTTCTAGATGATATGCTTAGGAATGAGTGGTAATTTCACAAGCAACTTCTCAAAACTATGAAATTATTTAGGAAATGTTTAACTACGTGTAGAATTTATGCTAATTAATTAAAAAAATATATCAACTTAGCTAGTAGCATCTTACATCATCATAAATTTGCTATTAATATAGCATGCAAAACTGTGCAAGTCTTAAAAATTGTTTGATTGGACAACATTTTTAACTATCTCTATTCCAGTATTAGCAAATAAAAACTAGATCATGCTTGGTCTTAATATTGGATGGCTCTTATGTGGGTACTACTACAACGGGGGATTCTCTTAGGTGGCGTTTGGTTGAGGAGAAATTTTTGGAATAATAGGGAAATGTAATTACTAGGGAAATAGTTGGAAAATGAGTTTGATAGGAAAGTTAAACAAAAGTTGTTTGGTTGGACAAAATATTACCGGGGAAATTGAGTAAAATTTGTAAATGTGTGTTTGGTTGAAGATAAAATAATGATAGGTAAATTTAGTAAAATTACAAAATAACCCTTTATTTGAAATTACCCTATTCGACAAGCTTATTAACCCAACGACAATATTGACCTCGTATGACACCAGTTTGTGTTTGGACATCTCTGTCTCTCCACCAGATTTGTCACTGTCTCCATCTGTGGTTCCAATTTGACCTCTACCATCCGATTGTGGTTCCAATCGCTGGCAAGTTTGACAAAACCCCAAGGTTGGAGACGACGCCTCTCTTCATCCATTGTTTAATTTGTCGCATATATTAGGGTTGGACTTCCACGACGAATTTTTTTCTTCTTCTTCCTCTCTGAGTACAGTTGTTCTTCACAAAGCTTGTTCGACTGCTTGTTCTAGTCTTCCGATTTCTTGTTGCTTCAGCTAGTTATTCTTCGTCTTTGCAAAGGTAGGATTTTCGTGAACATGTATTTTTTCTCCTCAATGGCTCCATATGTTTATTCTTCGACTGATGATTTTTTTGCTTGCTTCATATGTTATCATGGGGTGTTTGCCCTTTAACTTTGAAATTTGTTATGGGTATTTTTTTTTTCAATTTAAATTGTGCTACCGAGTAACTTTAAGGGTTGTTGTTTGAATTTGTGTTTGATTTTGTGGATTTCTTTGCAGAACTTGATATACCAGCTCTTCAAGGGTGTTGCTTTCTGCCACTGCCATCGAATCTTGCACAGGTATAGCTGAAATTCCTTCCGTCTTCATTTTTCTTTCATGTAATCATATATCATTGTAATGAAAATTTATTTAGTGAAGATTTGCTTGAAAATATCCCACGGTAGTTCCTGATAACCACAAACGTCAGTCATAATTTTTAGGCATTAAATATATTACTTCTACACAAATATTGGGTATTTGTTGTTTTGAAGGACCAATGAGATTTTTGTATTCTCATCAACTATTTGGTACTTTTTTGTTTGTTCAAACTGATATGCTCCTGTTGCCTTGGTTCTAAATTTTTAACGATTTTACTGGGTGATGAGTACTTTCATTTCATGGACATAAAGTATTAACATAAAAATGCAATACTTACAGCAAGTAATCCATCCAAACCCTCCATAGGGGTGGTTTTTGATTTTTCAAATAAACTGAAATAAAGTGAAGATTCTATTAGGTAGCTTTATAAGATAGACACTTATAAAGTGTTTAGAAGTTCATATAGTCATACATAATTTGTGATGCTAGGCTTTGGTACTGTAAACTTGTTCCAGTGAGTTGGGAACGTTGCACTTTTTCATTATTATATTTTCATGATTGTTAAGCATAATGTAAGTTCTTATGTTTGTCTAGGGATCGCAGCCAAGTTCAAGATTTCATTAGGGGTGGCTCTGAGAGGGATAACTTGCATTAAGTATATTGGATTTCAGGGTTTTAATCGTTTAAGAGTTGCTACTTAGTTTGTTCTGGTCATGGCAGGGAGTTGCCAAGTTGGTATCTCACATTTGCAGAGAGATTGGGCAGCCTGGTAGCAATCTTAGTTTTGATCTGCTCTCTTTTGTTTTTAATTTTTTTTTCTGTTTTGTAAGACCTTTTATCCTCCTCTTGTTGTAATTCACATCCCTCTATAATTGTTGACGATAACTGCCATAGTTCTCCTCAACTCAACTTAACAAGCAACAGGTACTCCACTCCACTCATTGAATAATCGCCTTTAACCTATAATGCACGGATTATCATTCAATAATGTCCTTGGTCTTGTTTGACGGTGATTTTTTGTTTTTTAATTTTTTATATTAAATTTTATGTTACTTCATAGATGTATGAGAACCTTGGAAGCATAATTATTTTTTTATTTTTTTATTTTTTTTGCTTGTTATGCAATAGCTCTGTATGTTTCTAGAGTTTTTACTTCGTGGCAAGTTTCATGTGCTTCTTCAATCTTTCTCCTTTTCATAAAGCTTTTTGCTTTTAACTTGTACACTCTTTCTGTGACTTCCCAATAACGTGCAGGGTTTGTAATTTTGTTTTGAGTGTTCTGTGATGGAAAATTTATAGTGTATTTTCATTACATGAGTATTTTCATGACATGAATATAATGTATGAACATAAAAATGCTGTATGAAAAGTTTGTTTTCGTCCTTAGTGTGATTAAACTTGTGGCTTGACTTTGATTGCTGATCTGAAAATCTTAAAAAGAGAGGAAGGTGCTGTGTTAGGAGATTGTCATTTTACTTGTATGATATGGAAGCCACTTTTACTTATACTAAAGGCCTCTGTTTGTTTCGTATCAATAGATTGTAATTTTGTAATTGATATAGTTGTTTCCCTTAAGGTAGTTGGTAACATATAGGTTCTTAGTTTTTTTATTCACACATAACATCATCCTAATTGATAACTGAGAGAATATATATTACCCAGCACCAAAGGTATAAATTTCTAATAATGGTAATTTGTAATAAAGTTAGCTAACATGTTCTCCAAATTATGGATCCTGTTAAAAAAATATGATGCCATTTCAGTTTTATAGCTATTAACCGTAATTGACTCTTTCTCTGTTTCAGTAACCCACAAGGCAGTGTCAAAAAGTGTGAGAGCCTTATTGGAAACAGACCAAACTTTGTGTACAGAGGAAGTATGGGCGGATGTGGGTTTGGAACAGGTGCCGGTGATAGCACAAACTCGAGGCATTCTTCATCATCATCCTCATCGAGGTTGAAGATGTGCTATTGTGGAGTGTCGGCTGCATTGCGTGTATCCCACACAGATAGGAATCCAGGAAGACAGTTTTTTGGATGTCGTAACTTCCGAACCACGGATGACTGCCATTTCTTTGAATGGTCTGAGGAACCGTTTTGCCGTAGTTGTGTGAAACACGAGAAGGTCGAAAAGTTATTAGCCGTTTCTCAAATGATAACTGTCATAACGTTTGGTATTGTCATGACATTATTTATAATATATAGATGATTTGTCCTGTGGTATGGCACTTGTTTTGCTGTAATTAATATGTAATTGTGGCTGGTTTCTGTACGGCTAAGCATGTTTTTATTTGTACTGTAATTTTTGGATGTCATCCGGTTTAGTTTATGGTATGTAAATGATGTTTGTACACCAACCAAATTTTTTTTAGTATCAGTCTGTGATGTAAGCCTATATGTAATTGTGTTGATGTTTTAATGTATTTTTTTTAACCGGATCACAATTGGTTTAATTCTTGCAACTTAGTTTGTTAAGCACAACGATGGCAGTATAGATGTGCACCCATTCATTTGTGTCTCAAATCATGTAGAACATGTGATGTGGGTTTAAACCATTTTTTAATAAATTTGAAAAAAGAAACAATAGTCATTCATGCCTCTCTGCAACCCAAGGATCGTATATGAGACAAAAAGAATTTGTTTAGAAGAAAAACTGACCACTTCGTCTTTGTAGGTCCAGTTTGCTTGCTCTTTTATAAATTACAAAGGTAGCCTAAAATCAGTTGAATGACTACTTCAATATTTGTATTTTGATTCTGTTATTGGTGAGACTAAAAGAACAATTAAACATGACATACATATGAATACAACATTCAATGTAATATTTTAATTAACCACTCACCCAAAATAAATGGCATCAATTTCTCTCTTTTGGCATTGAAAACAAATCTACGTAGAAGTACTTGATAACCTCGCAATAAAGTATTTGATTACAGTTGTAAGATCATAAACTAATCTTATTCAATTTGGGATTGTAACTGTGATAATTACAACAAGTAAAAACACGACCTAAGGGTACATAATTTTAAACCGCTACAGCAACCTAAGGATCTTGTAATTTGGTACAAATGCATCGCCAACTCTTTTTCTACCTTTTCACTACTTATATTCATATCTCAGCAGTATTGCCTCGTAATATAGCAAGACGAAGGCATTTGTTTGGCCGTTTTTGAATACTCCATATTGCTATGATCTTCAGTCACCTGAGTTTGCTTCTGATCCATTATTCAATTTGGTTTATTTGGAGCTGTTCCTACATGGTTGAGGGGTACCTTACTAATTGGCAAACCACCATCCAATTGTGACAACATCGGACAACACACCTTGCTGGAAGAATCTGGGCTGACAGCCATTGTGAATGACGTATAGGTGGTCCTCCATGGCATGCAAGGGTATTGCATAATGGAATTAAGCATACTGTAAGAAAGAATAAAAGGATCAAACCAGTCCACGAGATGCCCCTGTGGTTGTCGAGTAAGAAAATAACTTAAGACGTAAACAAGAAATCCACATCAGCTTGCATCAGGATTAACTCTATGTATCAGGAAAATCACCAAAATGAAACATACACACTATAAATGAATACTACCTTTAGCTCCTAGCAGATGTCCTCAATCACGCATACTTCATGCTGGAAGAGGTTGTGAGCAGTCTGTAAAAGCAGCAATTCTAAACTTAATAGGAAGAAAAGACATAGGTAATATGGGGTAGTATGCAGAACAAGTAAATAAGAATGTCATTACTACACCAATAGCACATATAGCAACCTAATGCTTGAAGTAATAATATAAAAACATACATTATATGTATAAGCACAATTGTCTTATACAATCAATCACCCATATGATAAGAATATTAAGCAAGAACCTCGATCATAATAAAACTTTCAAACTTACAACATAGCCTGGCATCAAGATTTTCATAATCATTATAAAGCAAGACTGACGGCACAGAATGAGGTTATTAAAGACAATAGAAATACTGTACAAAAAAAAGTCCATGCCCATGTGGGAAACAAGGAGGCCTACCACACAACTGTCATCCTCGTCATCATTCATCAAACCTTGCAAATATTCCTGCATTAAGTCACACTTTGACAGACATTCGAAGTGAACAAACACTAAATAGACAAATATTTATATCTCCATATTCAAATAAATTTACATAAATAATAGGACGAGTTTAACGATTCCAAAATGCATCCATATAGGAGACAATACACCACTGCTTACACAAAATAAAGTCAAACATCTAACACTTGTGTGACTGACAACTATACAGTTGTATAGCATTGTACCCTCCAATGAGAGATTTACATCATAACAAAAAAACACTGTCATGCACAACAACAAAATGTCAGTATCAAAGCTACCATACACGGACATAAACATGGCCAAAAAATATGCAAGTGTTCAAATTCATTGAAAGTTAGCTAACAGCCCAGCCAACAAGCACTTTCGTTGGCCATCATTGCATTGCATGAACACATCGGTCATAGTACTGTCCATGCTCAACTGCAAAGCTATATGAACCATTTGAGGATCAGTGAGTTCATCAAATTTTTTCAGCTCATCCATAATTGACATCCTCTGTTGCTTCCATCAGCTTGATGTTGAAAGCAAGACACCAACTTATCAATGTTGTTGGTAGATTTTCGGTATGTGTCACTAAGATCTTTCATTACATCAACCAAAGGATCCTCAGTCCTTGTCCTTTTCTTACCCCTTTTGGCCGTAACATTTGAAACAGGAGATTAGGGCACAACCTCTTCTGTAGGAATATCAGGCACGTGAGATTCTTCAAGTGGAGTTGGGATGTAGTCCCCAGTCAGGTCTAGATATTCCTCGAATGGGGTGCCACTATCATCATCACAGGTTGTCTCTCGTTCTAAATCGTGTATAGCATCGTGTGCACCCACCGCAGAACCTCCTGTGGCGACATCCTTACCGAAGATTGATCCCAAAGCATCATAGTGTGGGAATGGCTTGTTGAAAAGTCCTTTAGCACTCGGGTGTGTCTACAAAAAGTTGGTCAAAAATTAATGCATAAAAAGTTTGAAAGAATTAATGGCCATTAATGTTATAGTCTATAACACATCAGTATAACTAGATTAGAGGTTTCTACCTTCGCCCAGTCGTCGAATATATCCCTCTCAACATCTATCATTTTTTTGGCATCATTCCATCCAAAGCCACTCCCACCATTAGGTCCAACCATTTCAGCGATGGCATTATAATGCTTTTTCAACAATTTAACTCTGGATGTGATGTGGGGGTTAGCTCGCAGAGAGCAACCTGGAATCTTGCTATGCATCATCTTTTCTACCACACTTGAAAAACCTATCTTGAAACCATCATCTCCTCTCCAACACAAACCTAGATCAGTGAGACATTCAACGAGGACTTTATCCTCTTCGGCGGTCCATATATGATTAGATCGTTTAATTGACTGCTGACTGTCTTCAGCCATGTATAGTCCTTTGTGAATGAAGCTCTGCTATATAGAAAGAAAATATGCAAAAAATATTGGTGAATCGAATGTCAAGTAACCGAGCAAATAAATATGTCATAGCAGATAATGGAAAACCCTGTAATAACAGTTAATGAATGCTAATACTATTAGAACAGATCACAATACGATAAAGTTCAAATTGTTATCTAGTACAACACGATACAACAGAGACAAAATATTCTTCGAATGTGGCATTAAGTCTGCTTATAAGACTAAAAAAACATAACGCTAAAGCGGTTAAAATAATTGATATCAAACACGACTCCTCCAAGTGTTAAACATGTGTTCCGCCATTTGGTCCCTCGAAGTAGTCCATGCATTAGAAGACTCTACGTGCGTAATGAAGTCATTTCCTCCGACATCCTCTTCCGCAGGTTGCATTTGATCTACCTCTTCCTCGTCGAGCGGATCCACAGTCATTTCTCTTCTGATATGATTATGAAGCAAGCAACACGCGATAATAATGCGGCATTGAGTTTTAACAGGATAGTATGACTTAGATCTAACAATCGCCCAACGACCCTTCAACATTCCAAAGCATCGTTCTATGGCATTCCTTGCGGAAGAGTGCTTCATATTAAAGTATTCACGAGCCGTTCGAGGCTGTGCACCATGTCTCCAGTCGCTCAAATGATAACGCTGTCCTCGGTAAGGTGTAAGGAAACCTTCTCCATTCATGTAACCGGCATCACACAAGTAATAATAACCTGAAACGTATTTAATATTAGTTACAAAAAATATTAATCTCAATGTATGTACACAGTTAATTCCATGTCCCTATTGGTCATGAAAGAAAATTTTGATATTTACCTTTCGGGACCTTTAAACCATGCGGACGAGAGATGGCATCTCTGAGTACCCTTGAGTCTGCTGCGGAACCCTCCCATCCAGGAAGAACATAAATAAACTGCCCATCTTGGGAACAAACCCCCAACACATTGGTTGCTATCTCCCCTTTCCTAGTCCGGTATCTCGCCTTGTCAGCTTGCAAGGGATTCACCTTGATGTGTGTTCCATCTAGTGCTCCCAAACAATTCTAATAATAAACCACCAAAAAATTACCTACCACACGACAAAACTATTACACAGTGTATGGGTATGTAAAGAACAATAAATTACCTTGAACAACTTCCACCTATCTCCGCAACTGGTTCAGGTCGTTTAAATAAAACAGTATGACACCGTAAGACAGCAAGCAACACTTTGGAGAATTGTCTACTGATGGTTTCACCAGATTGCATGAACTGCCTTTTTATTACCCTATTCTTCACATCGTGGGCCAAAATGTGAAGAAATATTGAGACCATCTCTTCTACACCCATATGCCTAGTCGGCGCTTAACCATCTCACACAATTTATAGAAACAACTTCTATCCATCCTTGTATTCTCAATACAAGCCTTGTCACTTAGATGAACTATTCTATGGAAATTGACTTCCCTAACCCTCATCCTGGTCAACAAATTGCAGGATACTCTTCGCCTTTGATTTCTCCTATTTTCATTACGCCGTAATAACAAGGCACAAATACTGAATAACAACAAAAAGAATTGTTGCATACATTCCAGATGAGCAATGAGTACAACAACGACACTATCATCCATTCCATTGTTCATTGTCTCAATCTAAGGCGCAAAATCACGAACACATAAATGTCAATTATAAGATAAAATGTTGATGGTCAACAAGTGGAAGAAATATATGATGATAGTCTTAAAAATAATAAAATCAGTTACTAAGCAGAGTCATTAAAGTTGAACAAATTTTTTGAGTCTTTCAAATCGACGTTGTCATTATTTAAAGATTTTAACTTTAGCATAATTTTTGCTTTTTGCCATAGCAAGCAATCATATAACCCCCTTCATTTTTCTTTCTCTCCTTTCATTTTGTAATTCATCATGACATTCACTACCAACTTCTAATTTGATGAAGACACGTATGGATTGTAATGTAATAAAGCCTGAACCATACAATGCAATTGGATTTGAAATGCTAACCAAAGTATTTAAATTGGTCAAGTTATGTACTTTTTTCACAAAGTATATTTCAGAAGTCAAGGCCAAGAAACCTTACATGCATCAACCAACATAGGTTTGCCAACTGATTCACACTATAAAATTTCACTAAGTCGCAGGTTGCATACATTAATATGACGGAATTATGAGAAAAGCGGTATCAACAATGACAAAATTGATCACTTTTAAATATGCCCTAAAATATCTAAAAATATTACTTACAAGCTCCAACTAGTTGAGGTTTAATAACATAAAAATAGCAATTTATAAAGTTATTATGTGAAGGGGCCAAGCCTCCCTGCTCATCCCTTCTCTATTTGAACCCTTCTCACCCCTACACTTCTTAACCAATGTTTCTTTTCATTTCCTGCCCCTCTCACCCTTATTTTTACTTCATCATTCTTTCTCCCAAACAGACCAAACTTGTCCCTACTCATAATAGTAACAAAATCACCTCTTATTCAGCATTTTTCTACAATGTCAGTATCACATACTGCCTCTTTGATTTTGTTTCTGCCAAATTTCCATACCTTATGAGACCCAACCTTTATAAACTCTTATTAATGGATACGGTTTTCTCTATTTAACTCAACACATGAAAGTGGTTAAGGTCTAAGCCCACCACTGTCAACCATAAATCAGAAAGTAAAAAAACCAATATACTTTTTACTGTTCATCTTCTCCCAGGAAATGCTCTCTTCATCCATTGTCAACAACTTCAATAAGTCCCCTTTCACAGTGACATGTGGTATAACAGAGCAGAAAAATAATAGGTTAAGATATCAAAAATTACCTTTAAAAATGGATATATCAGGACCTATAATTTTTTGACAATTAAAAAGCTATTTTATTAATTAATCGTAGATGTAGTTATGTTAATTAAGGAATTAAAAAAAAATTGTTTACCACAAAAAAAAATTCCTATCAGATGTCAGTAGGCTTCAGCAAAGATAAACACACACCATGGGACCAAGGGGTGTGAATATACTAACCGTTCAAGTTTAACAACGCGTCAACACAGAAAGAGGACCCTGTCTCTCCACGTTGGATGCACCAAACCAAATCAACCTGAGTTACCAACCAGTAACTTCTCAGCCGTCGTAGATCTACTTCACCGGAGTCTTCTTAAACCACCTACGCAAATGGAACCTGCAATCGAGTAATAAAGGGTGACCTGTCAGTTCACATACACAAACACGACAACACATTTCATTCAAAACCTTCATTCATCTTCGTTCATCTTCATTCATCATCCTTACCTGACCTCCCATCCTTGCGCATGTGGCTTTCCTCTGTCCTCTTCGTTCGTCTGGAATCGAGTTTTGGGTTTCTTTTTGTTTCAGAAGATATGCAAGCCGGATGAGTGATGTATGACTTTGGGCAAAAGTTGGTCACATGTGAGGGGTAAATTCGTCACCCAATTATACCCCTTTTTCACTTCTCCGGATTTCACCAACAATACCACCCTCGCAGAAGCTTTCTTCAACAGTGATTTTCACAAAAATCACATGCATTTGTCGAATGCTGGGGAACAACGAAGGGTGGATAAATTTGATTAATCCAACGAACCAAACGTCGACTTCTTAGAATCCAGGAATCACTTCTCCATCAAACTTGATCGAAATCTCCAAACAAACACCCCCTTAGTATCCATTTTTTATGTGAATTCATTCATAGACCTTCTCAACACTGTCATTTGACTAGTTCTTATTTTATTCTAGGACCAATGAGGAAGATATAGAAGGGAGAGCAGAGGGAGTTCAATTATATATGGTTTCTATCAAAGGCTTAGAGAAAATGTCCAAGAAAAAACGACCGTATTAGTAACAATTGGCAAAAGTTTCTCCAACTCAAAGCTATTTTGAAATGTATTTCTTGACTACAGTAGTCAAACACGTTTGTCAACTTGACGGGACCAGTCCTGTCAACGTGCATGGCGCGACCAAGGGCCATGTCAGCACATAATGTGGTACTGTCAGGAAGGGTGACGTGTTCAGTGTCAATACTGTCAATGTTGTTGACGTATTACGTGGATTTCGTCAAGCATTGTGACGCGTCCAACGTGTTACGTGGACCCCGTCAAGCTTTGGGACGCATCCAATCCAGTCAAGCCTCTTTCTTTCCAAACCCGTCAACAAGAATGATGAATCCTTTGCACCTCAGCCTGGTCATCCCAAGTCCCGTCTCATTTGTTGATGGTACAAGTACAAATTCTGAAACCAAGTGTTGATGAAAACGTGATAAGCGTGGAGCAAAGTTCTGTATGAAGGACAAACAATAGTAGTCTTGTTACAGACATTTACGGGAGTAATCTCTACATATACCAAATTGACTATATATAGACAATTCGATCTAAGAACGAGTTCAAGTTCTAAGCATTAATTTTGTAGTTGATATTTGTCTCTCTGGCACTTCATTTATATCTTCGTGGGAACTTTCAGAATTTTTTTTACTATCATTCTCAATTTATATTTAATGTTGTTATTTATTTTTGTATTTAGAGTCACAACTATCGTCTAATTTTGTGTGTTATTTGCATACAAATACTATTACAATGGATCAATATCGTTCATTCATATATTATAATGGTTCTAACGCGGTTTAAGTTTCAAAAGGGAAAAAAGAGCAATGTATATTGTTCAAGGCATGTCTGTTGGAGATCTGAATAACAAGATCCGTCAGAAATTGAAGTTGCAACAAAATCTGGTAATATCTTAAGTTGCGGGTAGAGTCCCATGTGGAAACCACAAATATTCAGGTTTTGAAATATGTGATGATGAGGACGTAGATATTTTCCTTGGAACATTTGTCGAAAACTCTACGTCTCAATTTATACATGGATATTAAGACATCAGAGGAATTGTCAATACCGATTCGTGGACTGGACCTTTAACAGTCAGACACATAATGTATCGTCATCTAGACCCCAGCCCACACAATCAAC